CATATTCTCTGCTCCCTCCTGCCCACTGTGGCTGTCAGGAGGGAGCTTTCCTTCAACACCAGAGGCTCTGGATCACATTGCCAGCAGTCACCAGAGGAGTTCAAACAGGCCTGGACCAGCAGCTCAGGGGAAACCATCAGGTGGGGCTGACTTTGCCCTTCACTGACCTTGTACAGAGACTCAGGGTACTGCAGTAGTGGCACAGCCAAAGGGAGAACTGCAGTGCATTTACAGAGCCACACACAAAGTCACAGCGCAGAATCGCAGAAACTCAGCGGTCACTGTCACTCTTTGCCCCAGGCCCCTCTCTTCAGCCCATTCGTACCACTTCCCAAACACCAAGATTTTCACTCCATCTCCATTTCACCGGTCAGCACTTCTAGCCCATTCAGCTCTCTCCAAACTACTCCAGCACTGTTCCTGAGCCTATGAAGTACCCAGTGGCCATCTCCCCGACTGTTCCTGTAAATTCCCCCCTCTCTTACCCTTCTACCTAGCACTGAGCCAATGCAGCTGTTTTCTCTGTCACAAACTCCTTGCAGCTCACGATTCCTGGAATCCGCCAGCACTTGGCGTGTTCTGTGAAAACAGCAGCTCACCAGGGAAGCAACTGGCAAACTTTATCAGGAATGATAGGGCCAACAATAACCCACACTGTGCTCGCTCTAATCTCAGCTCTGTTTGGAGCAATTTCATCACTGGTGCGTATTTGCGTGCAGCCTAAGAGGCGTTTGGTATTTCAGGTGAATTCCAGGTGCTGGTATCTTGTGAGGGCCGTCTCCCACCTGGCAGACAGACATCGCTCCCCAGAAAGATGTGGGGATCGTGGCATATGCTCACTTCCTCCATTCCTTTTCTTTTTTCATCCTGTTCAAATGCAAAGGAGCTGCTGGCACACGCCAGAAGGGTAAGAAGTCCTTCTAGAGGTTTGACATTGCATAGAGAGGTCTAATCATCAGCTATGCTTCCTGGAGGAGGCTTCCCAGCAGGCAGGAAGGGGTTTTGCCTTGAGGGCACAGATCTAGTGACTGTCTCCTGGCAGCTTTCTTCACCTGCAGGTCAGGTTTGGGTTGTCTGTGTAGCATAGTCAGGCTTTCATTTCAATCAGCTGTCTCATTCAAACACACGATCTGCTTTAAAATAACAAGCCGTTGTTCCTGCCGACAGAGAATCACACATCACATCCCAGTCCTCCAAGAAAAGCCCTGTTCTAGGAGCTATACATCCCAAGGGTAACAACGAGAAGGGGGAAGGGACTTCTGAAGATGGGGCAATAGTCTATGGGAGAAGGATACCTGGGAGAGAGATGACAAACTTAGTTAAGAAGCCCCTGTAGAGTGCTGAGGAGAAAAATCCAAGGGCAACGTGAGGAGTGCCACTGGGGGAGTGCAAATCAGCAGCACAGAACTGGTGGACAAGAAAGGAACAATAAAGACACTTGCAGCCAAAAAGACAAAGCAGTGTGCTGATGGAGGCAGGGGAATGCCAGCATTTCTCACCTCAACAGGAAACAGCCCTTTGTAGCTGCATGCCAGAAAGAGACATGCAAGCAGAGTAAAGCCAAATGAAACACCCAGGCAAAGTCGAAGCAGAGTCTCTACTGCCCTGCTGAAGAAAGCAGCAAAGGGAGGGAAAAGCCCTTCAATGTGAACCTGGTTGTTCTGTCTTCCCTCCCACCTCATGATAAAGAAAAGTCTGCACTTGGGAGAAGCTCTCGGCTGCTACAGAAAAGGAAGCAGTGCTCTGCAGATAGCACTTTTTAAATTCCATTGATAGTCCCACATCTCCCATCTCATGCAGTTTCTCTGCCATACAGAGCTCAGACACTGCTGCCCATTTTCCCTGTTGACATGGACAGAAAATTGAGCAATTACCCTTAAACTCCTCTCTCTCAGATTGCCCAGATTGCTACACACACAGCATTAAGCCCCCAATTGCCCCTGGCCAAAAGTGACTCAACTAGGCCTGTCCTTTAGGAATTAAACACCTTTTTGTCATTTTGCAGGTTTATTATTCCTCAAGATGTGGTGCATTAAATCCTGTTAAAGGATCCTCACCATGCAGAGGAGCTGGGCCCCCCATGACAAGGTTCAGCTGGACACACACTCACTTACCAAAGGTGCATTATCCATTTGCTATGCCTCCATACTAGCACATACCAGGGGGTGTTCAGGAGGATGGGCACTAAGCTCGCAGTGGGTGCTGTAGGAAACCCCAATATCCATCAACCAGACACTCCAGAGCTGTTTCTGGAGAGACACTGCACTTTTTCAAAACAGTCTTCTCAGCCTGGAGTTTTACAGGAGCAAAGGGTGCCTTTAGTCAAACACTTCTTTGCTTTCCTATACCTCAAAACTGGCTCCTCTTTAAAGTGGCTCTCTTGTCCTGGAGTAGCCTCTATGAAGAAGAAATATGGATTAGAGAAAATGATTCTGAGCACAGCCTGAGCCAAGGTACTTCACTGCTGGTATTTCAACAGTTTGTATTGTGCAGTGTGGATTGCACCTTCTGGGCTTCCCTGTGCAACTGTAAGGAATGGCTGGAATTGCAGAGAGTTTCATGCACGTTCCTGTTTGTCTACCTACTTATAATCTCCCATATTACTTCAGTCCTTCCACACAGCCTGAGAAATGACTGTTCTCCTCTCCCAAAATCCCATGGAGATGAGGAATCAGCTCCTATTTCATGCACAGGTTCAATGGGCAGGAACAGTGAGAGAATTCTACTTTTATCTCTGAAATTACAAGGCATATCAAGCCCAAAAGTCTCCACTTGGTGGTACAACCTTCCCTCCACTCTCCACATGCCAAACTGGACTCTCTCCTGCCTCTATGCTTTTTTAACACTTTCTCCAATGGTCTCCAAATTCTGAGCCTCTGGGTGTTAGCGCTGTACAAATGATCACAACTGAGCAGGTTTCAAATACACAAGAACAACTTTTTAAGGGCATATAGTTTTGTCCTTCATTCTTCTCATGAAAAGGTTGGATGGGGGACAAACAATGTTAATGGAATGGTACAGCTAAGCTTTCTAATAGGTTAAAGGAAGGCGATCCAAATGCATTGGTTGACAGCAGCAATCACTATGCAACTGCGCCTGTTCATATTAAGACGTACAAGCTAACACATTATGCAGCACAAAATAACCATGACCCATCCTTGGGGATCGCACACCAATGTTTTGATTTTTGTGTGTTTAGAATCTGAGCTTTACTCTTACAGTTAATGACACAAGCCCAGGTGCAGTTCTGTGCAAAGGGGATGTGGACACAGCTGAACTTACTGCATAGCCACAGCATGCTACTGCCTGCCTTCTACCCTGGGCAGTTGTTTGTATCTCTCTGCTTATTCAAAAAAGTAATTTTATTCAGGTTCTGCAGTTTGTTTATGCGTCACTTTTCTTCACTGCAATTGCTGAGCCCGCATGGAAAACTCTTCTCCAGAATAGCTTGCTTAATCTCCCCACAGAAACATGACCACAAGCATGCAATGCACTGATCCATTTAGAGATTTTCCATATGCAAATTAGACCCAGAACCCAGTGTATCTGACTGTAACAGAAACTGCTGGGGTAGGAACCATAATCAGCTTAGTGGCATCTTTCTTCTAACACAGATTTAACCCAAAGATGAACTCTGGTTTGCAAACAATGCAAATTGTTTGCACAGGTTAGGTACAGATAAATAAGTGAAGTGCATTAGGACTTGCCATGTCTTCATGCCACATTCTGCACCAATTCTATTCTGTATTTATTACCCAAGGTCTTGGAGCACTAAAAGTCACATGCTGCAAACATGTGGCAAGCATTTTTATGCCTGGTTAGCAGAGACAGTTATTATACTCTGAATACAAGACCAAGGTTCAACAAGAAGGACAGCACATATGCAAACAGTCAAAGAGCTGTTCAGAGCAGACTATCAGCTTCAGTGACATACATTGAAATTTAAGAAGCCTAAGAAACTTCCCAGGGGGGAAATTAAGTCTATTCTGAAGATGCCAATGCTATAAAGGTGCCACTTCTGGCAGTCATATGTTGCAATGCTTAATCTGTCTGGAAGACCAAATAAGTCTTCATTTAATCTCATTAACCATACTGATGTCTGATCCTTTGTGACTCCTGGTAATTCTTCTGATGCTTGGTGATATTTCACAGATGCAACTTTTTATACGCTGTATAAAAGTCTTAGCCCTTGAAAACTGAGGTAGCTCCTAGAGACTCTAATGAATTTCTGTGCTCCTCACAGTACTCTAGTGCTTGTCTCGCAATTCATCCTGTGAATTTTTCCTGAAATCTCTCTAGGCTCATCCAGTCGTAGAAGAGCAGGTGATGTACACTATAAAGAAAACTTGTGCTAAGTCAGGAGTCCAGTAGATTTCACAGTAGCCTGTACAGGGATGGGATGGGATGGGATGGGATTACCCACTAGTGCCTATGATATTTAGCTCATGATCTATGATCTTGGGTTAGGGCAAGCAGATTTTTTACATTAAGCTTTCCCTCAGACAGACCCCAGGTGAGTGGTGCAGGCACTTGTCCTGATGGGAACAAGACAAAGATATTACCATAAAACATAGGACTGGTATACGTAGAGCATACTATCACCTAAACTAGGGGACAGCAGTGATTTCTTTCCCTGCTCTCAACCTTTTATTGCTCCTTTAGCTCTCTTTCTGCCCCAATCCACTATTCTCCATGTGAAGGCAATCACAGAGAAAAGCGTGTCCTCAACACTTTCCTTCTTCCCAAAGGTGCTTTATCATTCTATGTTAATGAAGAGCTAGAGTTGGACTAAAGGTTTGTTTCCTCATCCTCCTCTCCATCTCCTTTGCACTCTCTACCTCATTCAGCAGCTGGAGAAGACATAAGCAGTTCCCATATTTCTTTACCCCAGGGTGTTTAATTGTCTTGCAATTTCTTACAAGATGCCTCTGCTCACTTTACAGGAGAGCCCCCAGACACGTATGAAGGCACTTCTTGCAGTGAAGTAGGTGATGCCTTACCTCCTCCATCATCTGATGCCTCCAGGCTCTGCTGTTTGAGACGATGGCTGCAGCAAAACACAAGGAAGAAAGAATTTCAATTGCAAGGCCAGAAAAGCATCTTGCTGTGTCCCCTTCCTCCCCACGAGCCTCATGGCCAGTCAAGGGGAGAGTTCCCAGGTGCACTTCGCCTGCAGACTGACCTTCTTCCATAGCCCTCATCACTGGACTCAGCTGAAATCTCAGCTTAGAGTGCAAGATGCCTTGTACCTGAGACAAAGCCCTAGGCTGCAGACAGTAGGGTCTGGGAGGAAAGTGGATGCTTTTTCCTTCTCTCTGCCATATGGGAGTGACAGAGCCAACACCATATCCAGGGAACTCTAGAGCGACCAGCCCTGTCCCATCCCAGGACACTTGATACGAATTCATGCCAGGCTTTGCACCCTTCCCAAATTTGAGATCTTGGTGTACTAGTGCTTAGAGTCCCTTCTCCATGAGATCAGATGTAAAAGTTGTGGAAGAAGTCTCAGCAACAATGGGAACTTACTCTTCTACTTCTTCTGCATGCTTTCTTCCTGACCTGCAAGACAAGGAAAGGCTTATGCTTAGAAAAGGCTAGGGAAAATTAACAAACTGCATCTTTCCC